TAAGCCATTTTCTGTTTTAAAAATATGAACAAGTTTAAAGCATACTATCAGTCTTTTTCCTCCCCCTCTTATTGTTTTGTTTACAATTTTATGTGGCAAGAATTTTGGGAAGTTGAAAATATGTACCTAACCTTTATGAACAGTTTTACTTTTATATTCTTCACTGACATCCTTGCTCCAAATATCCTGTTTTCACAGGATGTGGGTGCAGTTATTTAAATAGTGTTGGGTTCGTAGGGCTTACTCCTAAATACGTTGTGCGTAAGACTTGAGATACTACAATATCTAAGACAATATTTTATTACTAGATATCCAGGCTTTGCAGAATGATCTACCTTTTGCTCTTTATTTCCTTTTCTAAGTCAGTGCAAACCTAAGTAAATTACAGTTAAGGTAACCTTGGAATCCAAATGTTAATTGGAGGGTCCAGGTGTGCTGGTTCCAGGGCTACTAGATCTGATCTGCAGAACACCAGGCAGCAAGCAGGTAGCAGTACAGATCATCCTTGTTTAGGAACCACAATTGGAACTGGCAATTTGGTTATATTAAGGGAAGTGATAATTAAATGAAACGATGACTGTGCTTATCATCTTAAGGCAGCGATGGCTAACCTTTTCAGCTTGGTGTGTCGAAAATCGGGAAAAAGTGTAGCCTTCCTCGGGTCGTGTGTCACTTCAAGAAATATCAATAATTTGGTTTATGACGGACTGGGCTGGGGTGATCACACAGGGCTGTGAAACTCGTCTCCCTGGTCTCAGGGCTGCAGGTGCAGGATGTGGGGATCGGAAGGCCACCTTACAGGGCTGTGAACCTCATGGATCTCCTTTCCTCCTGTAGCGTTCCTGAGGTAATGAAACTGACAAACCTCAGTTTATGGCGGTTAAAACTGGTTCTCTGCTGCAAAGATCTTGTGGCAGCGGTGACACCACGCCTCCACGCAACAAGCAGGGAGCAGGGATTGGAGCAGAGCACAGGCAGCCTCTAAATGTGCAGGTTTTCCCCACACCAACAGGCGTGTCAGTCAAAGTGCCTTGGCGTGTCACGAGTGACACGCGTGTCATAGGTTAGCCATCACTGTCTTAAGGTTTCTTTTGCTTTACAGACCTGTGTAGAAAATTAGCACCCAACCCCTCTCCTAGAATATTTTGAGAAATATTAAAAAGGCAGAATATATTTCCCTAAATGAGAAATGGAGAAACATGTTTTTTTAGAGGCAGAAAGCAGACTCATTCTTAATAGCCCCCACTTTTCTTAATAGCCCTCAGCAGATGTCAGCACTTAAGTTATAGAGATAGGTAGCTCTATTCATAGGCAAAGCAAATACTACAGGCAGAAATCCATTCAAGACAGGATATTTTGAAATTCCCTGCAGCAAAGTCTGCAAAGGCAGTGATATGATTAGCCCTCACTCAAGATCTAAACCAGGACAAAGCCATTAAGCCATAATAGGAATTGCCCAACACCCTTTCAGAACACAAGCTTCTTCACTGCATCATCTCAGCAGTCCAAACTTCAATCAAACCTGGGAGCTCAGATAACCTATAGAGCCAGCTATGACCCCTACATAGAATAGAATAGAATTCTTTGTTGGCCAAGGAATTTGGCTTGGTGCATATGTTCTCAGTGTACATAAAAGAAACGATACATTCATCAAGAGTCAAGAATCATAAGGTACAACACTTAATAATAGTAATAGGGTACAATAAGCAATCGAATCATACTAGGAAACAGTCAAAAAAATAGTTAGAATACAAGCAACAAGGTTACAGTCATACAGTCATAAATGGGAGGAGATGGGTGAAAAGAAGAATGGGAGGATTAATAGTAATGCAGACTTAGTAAATAGTTTGACAGTATTGAGGGAATTATTTGTTTAGCAGAGTGACGCGTTCAGGAAAAAAAATCTGTTCTGTGTCTAGTTGTTCTGTTGTGCAGTGCTCTATAACGTTTTGAAGGTAGGAGTTGAAACAATTTGTTTGGGATGTGAGGGTCTGTAAATATTTTCACAGCCTTCCTGTTGACTCATGCAGTATACAGGTCCTCTATTGAAAGCAGGTTGGTAGTAATTGTTTTTTCTGCAGTCTGTGCCTGTCTTGTTGGGTTGCAGAACCAAACCAGACAGTTATAGAGGTGCAGATGACAGACTCAATAATTCCTCTGTAGAACTGTATCAGCAGTTCCTTGGGCAGTTTGAGCTTTCTAAGTTGGCACAGAAAGAACACTGTTGTGCTTTTTTGATGATGTTTTTGATGTTGGGTATCTATTTTAGGTCTTGTAATACGATAGAACCTAGAAATTTGAAGGTCTCTACTATTGATACTGTGTTGTCTAGTATTGTAAGAGGTGGTAATATGGGAGTGTTTCTTCTAAAGTCTACCACCATTTCTATGGTTTTGAGTGTGTTCAGTTCCAGATTGTTCCGGTCACATGAGGCAAGTTGTACAACCTCCCGTCTATATGCGGATTTGTCAGTCTTGAATGAGACCAATCACTGTTGTATCATGTGCAAACTTCAGTATTTTAACAGATGGATAGTTTGAGATGCAGTAATTGGTATATAGGGAGAAGTGGAGAAAGCAGTCTTGGGGTGTGTGTGTGTGCTAATTGTACAGGTATCAGATGTGATTCTGCTTAGCTTCACCTGCTGCTTCCTGTCTGTTAGGAAGCTTATGATTCACTTACATAACTCCTACATGGCCCCATGGGAGTCTGACAACATACATGTTTTTGCAGGAAGCTCAAGTGCAAAGCCCAAGAGAAGGTATAACCCCCCCCCCCACTCTCAACTCCATGTGGTCAGCTGCCCAGAGCCACATGTGGTTCTGCTTCATCATTAAACCTTCTTTCCAATCAGCTTCCATGTTTCCAGCGCCTTTCTCCCGGCTTGGAACTGAACCAGATGGATATTTCTTCCCACACTTGCAAAGATCATAAACTGAAGATCGGTCATAAAGTTACTCTTTCATTACTGCAAACAGTCCTTAAATGAGGCAGTCGCTAAACAAGGACTACCTGTAGAGACATTGCTGCATTCTGGATCTTTTGCAACCGAAATCTTGTAGCTTTGCAATTTGCACATTTCAGCAGCTTTCTCCAACTGCCATAACCTCTGTCATGCCTCTAGTGGAGACTGACTCTGATGGAGAAGAGGAACACCAGATAGGGAGTGGAAGTGTGGCTCCGGAGGTTGTGGAGGAGGCTGGGGAAGGGCAGAGGCCAGCAGTCAGAGGAGGACCCAGGCCATCCCCTATCTACCCTAGGGCACGCAGGGAGGAGAGGATAAGGGAGAGACTGGTCTCCTCGGGAGGAGGGGGCCTTGATCCTCTTCATGGGCTGCAGTTGTGACAACTGAATAAGAGTTTGGACCTGCATACTGGCAAACGCTGGAAACAAATCGTGGAAATATCTCGAGTTTATAGTTCCTCTCTGAGTTTGGCATTCTTCCCAGTGTGTGTTATCTGTGGACATCCTCCAGCCCTTATCTTGCCTGGTTTGTGTTGCTTTTTTCCTTCTTCTGTGACTGTTTTTTTTTTTGTCTTCTATCAAAGATATTTGGAGCTTGAAAGCACACTGAAGAAATAAAAGGGGCTTCACCTGTTTTCTGTGACTGTGTTTGTTTTGTATCCCACCCTGGGTCATCACACCCTCCAAAATGTCTTGGACATCCAATTCCCTCAAAAATTTTGTGGAGCCTGCTTCCAGCATCTTGGGAAGGCATCAGACTGAAAAGGGCTGGTGGTTGTGCTTGTTGGCTGGGCATGATGGAAATAGTTATCCAAGACAGGATTCCATGCGGGTCAGTTCAGGGCATTTTTTAAAAGAAATGTTTGTTAATGGACCTTGTTATCTTTCTGTTCTTGCTACCAGGGTTAAATATATCCTCATTTCCCCTGCACGTGTTTGCTTTCTTAAGAAAGAGCAACCTTTGCTCCCAGTTTCCATATAGGCTGAAAGGATGAGTCAATCCGGAACCGGATCGCCTGCTCTGGGCTTTTAATTGAAGGCCAGCAGAAATCCCTTTTTCGTGGGACAACTTCCTCTCCCTTTCGGTTAAATGTCACCCAGTGGCCGCCGTTTAAAAGGCTAAACGGCTCCTTTCCAGCCTTCCTTCAGCGCTTTATTTTGACTCCGTTCCTTGCAGCAAGGCGGGGCTTCTCCCGAAGCTGTATTCTTGTCGCTAAGCCATTGGCTGCGATTCATGCTCCCAAGGCTATTGGTCGGCCAGAACAAATCGAATAGCAAAGCAGAACAAAACCTGCACGCCCCCCACTCACTGACGTAGTTGGGATTTCCCGCCCACATTCCACACAGCTGGAATTGGGGGGCGGGCGGGGGCGAAGCGGCATTGGATCAAAGGGGGCGGGACCCTAAGCACGAGAAGCGGATTCTGATTGGGCGGCAGCCTTTAGAAGCAGGCTCGCTCGGCTTTGGGGATTGGGCAGGAGGCGGAGTCCAGGCTGGGTAGAACTGCTGGAAAAGAAACGGCCTCTGTTGTCACTGTGAAGTCGAAGGCGGTGAGGGGAGGGTCAGTCGCGCGTTTGCGCTCCGCCCGTCTGTGCTGGTTTCCCTCATAGGAGACAGGGACGCTTTATACCCTTTGAGTCCTGTTGCGGGGTTTTCTTAGAAGTTTTCGGTCTCCTTTTTAAGCGGGGTAGCCATTTCTGAGAGATAAGGAGCCGGGTGGGTGTAGTGGGGTTTTTTGGCTAGTGGAGTGGGGTCGTCGCTCCTAATGACGCTCCACCTTATGGAACAAGGCTGCTTCCCAGGACGGTTTTAAAGGGCCGCTGAGAAGGTTCCGACATCTGCTCCCTTCCTTTTGTGTCCCCCCACCCCTCCACCCCACCCCACACACACGTTTTGGTTTTTGCTGGGCCCCGGCTGACTATGGAGGTGCTGGACGGCGGGGAGCAGAACCTGTTCCAGTGGGATCGAAAGTTGAGCGAGCTGTCGGAACCGGTGGACTCCGAAGCCCTCCTCTACAGCACGGTGAGAAACGCGTCCATTGCAGAAGCGGCTGGGTGGGTGAACGAAGATTTGAATGGGAGAGGAATGTTCTTGTGGAAGGAAGAGCAACAAGTTTTTCATCTGCCTTGAAAAAGTGAATCCTGGCTCTTGGCAATCTAGGTTTGCTAGGAGAAGCTTGGCTGGCTTTGGTATATAGATGAAACCCAATACCCTTAAAAGAGAGCATCATGGTGGGGGCAAGCTGATGCAAGAGGGTTATTTTTTTTTAAAAAAAAAATTATACATGAATTGTTCTGGACTCTGGTTTCTTTCTGGTTTTATCTTCTTTTGCCTTCAGGGTATGACTTAAGAATAGATCTTCTGAAAAGCTTTTGTTATTAAATGACATCCTGGTGGGACTTTCCCAGATGCAAGAAAAGCAAATTAAATATGGTGGAGAGCCTGGAGTTAGGAAATTTCAGCAGAAGTGAAAGAGGGCCTCTGAGGGGGAAGAGGAAATTAGTTGGATGTTTTACTTCTCCAGAACTGTCCGCACTAGAGGAAGAACCAGAAAACACTTGTCTCCCAACAATTTTTGTTTCTTCGGAAAGTCTGCTGCATAACTTTTCTGTGCTCTTTTCCTTCCTGTTTTGCAAGTCAAGGAGTTCCTTATAAGTTGCCAGTAAGGAAAGAGTAGGCTTGCGGGAGCTATAATAACGGTCTCTAGCTTGGATAAGAGTCTCTAGTACGTTGAAAAATACAGGTCTGGCATTCCAATTTCCCCTCTTACACAAGTCCCATCTGTCATTGCTATCATTACATGAGCCAGTTGGGAAGGGAATGGAGGCCTAGGAATCCAAGAAATATTTATAGTGGTTTTGCAAGGGTAGTTATGAAAGAAATGGTGGACAAAACGAGGAGCAGCAATTTATGCCAGATGTTTGGTGTTTTTGTCCCTGGTTGAAATATGTCAGTCAGTGGATTTCAAGAGCTTTGTCAGACTGTCAGGGAAGGACAGGATAGGTTTTTTAAAAGTTACAATTCCTAACATTGAGCAAAAGTAGAAGGTTTCACTTTGCCTAATTCTACTTGAAAAAAATCATTTTTTAAAAAAGTAATTTGTTGAAGGGAAGAGTGATTTGAAGTGTGCAGAATAGATTTTATGTATGATGAAGGTCAGCATCACCCCCACCTCCCCCAAATAAAAATAAAGAATGCTGTCTTCAGGAGTGCATACTGGTAAAAAACACTTGTTTTACACAGTCCTCTAAAACGGGTATCCAATCTTGGCAAATTTAAGACTGTGAACTTGAACTCCCAACCCCCACCCCAGCGGAATTCTGGGCATTGGAATCCACAAGTCTTAAAGTTGTCACAGTTGGACACCATTATCCTAAAATTTGGTTTATTCAACTATCATTTATTGTCCAAGTCAAAGTTGTCTCACCCAGTACACCAAAACACAAACCATGATTTCCAAATCATAATAGATAGGATAATGATTTCTAAATCATAATGGATGGGTTCAAATAACATAGTAAATTAAAAATAATGCTGTGCTTTACTGTGAAATGGGAACTTGGCCAAATGTCAAAGAATGGCTATATTTGGAAATTGCATTAATAGATATTATGATTTAGTAACATCCTTCATTTACATTTGTCTATAATGTTTGTTATCCTCAGCCAATATGATTAATGGTGTGAGTTGTATCGGGTACTAAATTGGGGAACTCTGATCCCTATTTATCCTACCCATTAGAGATTAACATTTTTCTAATCTCAGGATTAAGAATTTGTGTCCTTTCAGTTGTTGAATGATAGCTCCCAGAGTTCCTTCTAATGACCATGAAATTTTTCTCTGCCTTTCCTATTTACTGCACTAGTCACATGCCCTTTTGCCACCTGTTAAAATGACCAAGAAAGATAACTCTTCTTGTGTAAGATACATATATAAGTCTTTAAACTGGATTCTTCTCCAGTTTAAAGGCAATAGATGATGTAAAAACTTTCTGTGGAAACTCTTAAAAATGGTTTCCTGTCAGACAAATGGTACTAATGTCAATGATCAAACTATCTGACATGAGATAACCAATTTATTACTAACTAGCAAGATTAAAATTTATAAAGTTAAAATTTATAATTTTAGCTTTATAAACTTTAATCTTGCTAGTTAGGAATAAATTATTGGCTACACAACTACAATTTAAATATTTTAAGATCTAGGTGTTTTTTGTGAATAGCAGAACAAAATTTAAAAAATGCTTATAGAAATAAAGTTGTCAGAAATAAGGATGTTAACATATGCATCTTCCTCTATGAAATGATTATTTTTCTTTTGTGAGCCTCTGGGCATATGCTGAATCTTATTTCTCATCATGGTCATTTGTCAGTATAGTACTGCTGAAACAAAATACATGTTTGAGTTGGTATACATGATGATGTAATCTAATATTTTGTGGTACAGCTTTTAATAATATAACATGCTGTTATTGATTTGGTCACTTGAATTTTCTCATGCAGTTTTTCAATGTGTCTCTGAAGATTTGGGGATAGGTGTTTGGTCTTTTGGTGTGGCTTAGCAAAGGCATACTAATAAATTGTGTTAAGACTCACAATTTGTTGGGATGATTTTCAACAAAATATTAGTAGCTCACAAAAATAATTTTTAATTTAATAGACCTTATTCTCAAATGTTCATTGGTGGAAGATAAATTTGATTTTTAATTGCTAGCAATGAAAAATACTTCAGAGTAGGCAAGTAGATTTACTTAAAGAAGAATTAATATATCTGTAATCCTAAAATTAATCCCTTTGTTCTAATAACAACAATCTAACCAAAATATTATTTTTTAATGACAGATCTGGGCCTCCTGTACAACTTACCTTTGTTTTCTTTTTAACTATCATATTTACAGTGATTATTCCATTTTAAGTATTTGGTTGGTCAATTAAAGACAGCATTCAAGTGCCTGTGTGAAAGGCTGGTCCAATATCTCTGAATAATTTTCATGACTGGAAGGATTAGAATATGATCCCTGGACTTCATTTTCTAATAACCCCATCACATTAGTTTTCCATTACGATCTGGAGAGAATGGGGCAAACTCAAAAAGATATGAATATAGTTGCAAAAAACAAACATCTGGGTGATTAGACAGAAAAGCAAAAAGGGGGAGTGGATTAAATTAAAAATTTGGCACCCAGTAATTAAGAAATCACAACAAAATCAAGACAGATTTTGCATCAAACTCTTCTCACATCCATCCAGATTTGTATGCTGAGGTCAAGAGCTTGTTAGAAGGCATACTTTACAACCCCTTTCTTGGAATACCAAATAGTTGCCTCTTTGAGCTATTCTTTGAAGAATTCCATTTCAATTCAATCCAGACCAATACTAATTTTGAAATGTGATAGTGTAAGCCTCCTGCTTTCAGGAGCAGGTTGTCTTCATTAGGTATGGCTTCCAAATGTATTCAAGGGCAGCTGCAATGAAAATGTGTTTTCCACAAGGTTGTAGAGTTTGTGTCTTAAAAGGGTCATCATACAAAATGGATTCATTGAAAATCTCACAGTTGCAAGGGGCACCTTAAATTATGCACATACTTTGCATGTGTAAGATTTTCAGCTCTATACATGGAATCCAATGATTTTTTTCTTTGCTGGGAACTTTTGGGAGTCTTGAAGGTAAACTTTTGGAAGAAGTTGCACTATAAACCTGTCTGGAAGACCTTGCAATCTAATGTGGGGCCCAGAGAAAGGAGACGAAGAGTTAAACTGGAAAAGAATATGTTCTGATTTGAAATCCATGTGTTGGTGCTATGTTGCAGTATGTATTAAGACCTACTGTGTGTGATTCTGCTAAAGGTTTTTTTTGAAAATGATGATTTTTTCAGAATGAAGGAAATTAAGAGCTGGGGGAAGAATGAAGAAAGTCTCTTGAAAGGAGGGGCTTTGAATGATAGAAGATGATGAAGCTGGTTGCTTGTAGATCATAAATTAGAATATGCTGATAGGTAAGAGAAGAACAATATTGAGAGATGAAAGCAGAGATCTGTATAGTACTGGATCCAGTGATGGTTGGATAATTAGGGATAAAGGCTAGGTGACCACTTGAATATTATTTAAGATTATCAAGCATTGAATTAATCCAGTATCTGCTCATCTTTTGCATCATATGCAAACATCAATTGTGAATACCTTTACAAAGTTATGCATCTGTGCAGTTTCAACCACAAAATGGGTTTGTAACCTAGAACAATAACTGTAACGTAGCATGTATGTAATGAAAACTTAGGGTTTATTCAATAAACTGTAATTAAATAGACGTGACACAGAGTTACAGTTCTTAATTCAGGGATGGTTCTCCCAATACCATATTCAGAACTATAGTACCCTGCGTGTTTGTTTATTTTGTTTACCCAGGCTTACTCTTCTAGAAATTCAGTAACTTTTAGAATCAAGAAGTTTTCCACTTTAGCTGATGTCCAAGCATCAATGGGTCCTGTATCTTTCACTTATGAATAGGCACTCTGTCTTCTCAAGCAGCTGTACATATTTCCATGTATACGAAAGGTAATTTGAAGAGCCTTTGCTAGGTAACTTATATCTCTTGACAAGTACATCAAAGAGAGGAAAGGAAAAGATAACCAAACTAGCTCCCTCCCTGTGTTTTGAGTCAAATTCTTGGTTCCAATATGAAAAAGTTGTTTTATACTTAAGAAATAGTTGAAGCAGTTTGTTGAAAAAGACTTTGGCTCCAAGCCAGATAAATTAGTCATAAATGAATCCTGTTGAAACCAGAAGATCCGGGACCCATCTGACACTGTTTCATTCACTGCTAACTACAGCTGTATTGAGCTGTTCCTTGAAATACATTAGAACAGCTTTTTCTAGATACATTGAATTATGATTCCTAAAACTTCCACTTAGCACAGCTAGAAGAACCTTGCTGGATTTGTAGAAGTTGTAGATCAATACATCTACAGGGTGCCAGGTGGGAAGAAAGCTGATCTAATTCAAGGCTGTATAATTCTTAGATATGAGCCAACATAGTTCAGTATGTCAACCATCTGTCCATTTTCACCTAATCTATCATTGTCATTGGTGTTTGTCTGGGTTAATTCCAGATTTAGTCCTAGAAAATTTGGATTTCATCCAATGAGAATAGTCCCAGGGTTTATGAAGAACACTATAGCTGTGTGTAATATACAATGGAATTGTGCAGTCCATTGGGGTTCATGCATTATTATTCATCTGTGTTTCAACACAGTTGTGTGTATTCATGACTTATCTTGTATAAGCAAGGATTGTCCGAAAAGCAGATTCATTTAAAGCATTTAAGGCATTATGTCTGGAGGTCATTGC